TCCTCAAACTACCCGACATCTGGTAGCACGGCTAGAGGGACGGTGAGCAGTAGCAGTGCTGCTGCCGAGCCGTCGAGAGTCGCGAGCGCGACAGGCGCTGTAAGGCAGCTGATTTCCGACATCTCCCAAGACCCAGCTGGAGCTTTCAAACAAATTGACGATGGCTTTTTAAAGCCACATCTATTGCTTGATGAAGGGAAAGGATCTGGACCTAACAATGTCTAAGACCTGACATTGAGATGGCGTTCTTTTGCTTTGAATGTCCGAGTTGGATATTGGATCGCACCACCGAAAATGGCGTTCTTTGAAGGTTAAGCACTATTCCCAGCCACATTTTCGTTACATTTTTAATGTGAGCGTTTGCGTGTACGATGATATAGAGGGGTCTAGGAGCAAAGGGTCAAGTTCCCCGTGGTAAAGCAGACACGCTTCCGAGTCGTGAATGCATTTTCCTCCGACAACGCGCATTGTGTATTCGTGCGCGCCGATCCTTTCGACCGTGGTAGAATGCGTCTAGGAGACGACGGGACTCCATGGCCCATAGCGTGATTTAGAACACTATATAAGCCTTGTCCTCTTTATCAGACAATCTGTAGTCGCGCGCTAAGCTGGTAGCACGGCATCTGGTAAAGAGCTGTTTGGATAATTTGATGATTTATTCGTCGATCTGCCGTGGCACCGGATTTTATATTGCATGGGCATATTGCGTCCCGGCAGCGTGAGTACGTTTCAGACGCCTAGGATGACAAGTGGGTGGTCGTGTGAGGGTATTTTGTCGGGGTAACACATTTGTTTTCCATCATATGGTGATGACTTATCATGCGCACATTTGAGAACAGGACGAGAGAGGAGAGGCATCCAACTACTCGTTGTCCAAATATCGAATCCCAGAGGCGCTTTCCCTGTCTTGGCCCTGACAGGGACCAACTGATCACGGGAAAACTTTAAATTAAGCCCAAACCTTACCTCAAACTACATACTCTACGACAGCCACTCACCAATCTTCCCCACCCGTGAATACAGCAGAATATCCATCAATCGGGGATTGGCAACACCATATCCCTGTGTTTCCCCGACCTCACGAGCGGGTTTGCTCGATAGATCATCTAGAATGGAGAATCTCCAAGTCGACGGTGGCCACGGGATTGGTTACGGTAGCTGTTTTTCTCCTTGTAGAGCTGGAGTCTAGACACACATAATTTGGATCCTCAATCGAGAAAGGAATTCGGTAGTGCTCTTCCAAATTCTTGATACTGATATGGCGTCTTGTTCGCCCGGGTTTTCATTCTTTGTCCCCCAACCCCCAAGTCAAGAGGCCACTACCGTTAGGGGAGACGGGAGTCTCGGGGGACATTTGCAGAGAGGTACGCCGTATCGATCATAGTACGGCTAGTATAGACGTTGGCTACCCGGTCCCCGTCCATTATCTCCGGAGTCTCACGCCCATCTTCCAGAAGCTTACCTCTTTGATCATAGTGCGGTCTACAATACCTGTTACTCGATACATCGGATGGCAGATGACTCTTGGCGACTAGGTGCAGCACACCACTCGAATCGTCCGATGTGGGGCGCATTCAGGTTAAATGCAAGGCCTCAGAGCCTCCAAGAACTCCACATTAATATAGGGCGAGTATCATGTGTCCCAATCCCCTTCCAGAAGGCTTCTGAGCAAACTCACACCCGGTTATGTGAGAAGGTACCTGTCTAGTGCCTGCAAAGTCAAAGCTTGTCTTTCTGAATTAAACAATTTGCAGTGGGATATTGCGTCGCAGCATGACCTGGCGCATCTTTGGTAGAGCTATTGAGATTCTATGGAGCGCTAATTCGTCATATGGATGTTCGCCCCAATACATCGGGTGGCGTGCTAAGAAAGACTACGTGTGCAACGGTCAGGATTTTTGCACATATGCCATCGGTGTATTTGCCAGTGCACGAGATGATCGCGTGGACAGGTCGCCCAAGGTATCCGGAACCATGTTCGAATATGTACGATCTATCAACAGGGTGGTCATAACGCGATGGAGATCGCGGGGTATCCGCTCCGAGGGGTGTCGCCTTCCGCGGCGACAGGGTGTCTCAAGTTAACCGTCATTTATTTCCCCCAGAGCAAATAATTTTCCCAGCCAAACACAAGACTTGGCTGTATATGGGTAACCCAGAACACTTTCGAAAAGGGTCACAGTACCCTATCAGACCCTGAATGCTCCTCTCCGACTTTTGGTTGCCTTCATTGATGTTGCCACTGCACTTCTTTCAATATACCGTCCACCGGAACTTTGGGCGCTTTGCGGCATCTGGAGCATATTTTGTAAATATTCCGAGCAACGCCACTTCTAGATTGATCTCTACCGAATTTCCACAACCTCATATCATTCGATGGTGGACCTTGCTATAGTAGCGTTATTCAATCGTCATCTAAGCCTCATCATTCCAGCGCCAAAATGCACAGACCCTTGAGCATATTCCTTGCCCGCAGTTTACGGGCCTGCTTCCTGATGAGATGGTCCACTGGATTCTGTAGGGAAGCGCCGAGGAGCCAAGGAGTCTGGTATTGAGCTATTGTCGATATAAGAGTCTCTCACATCCCTAAGAGTTCGACATCGATCAACCTCACTCACAATCGACAACATGAAGGGTATCTACACCGCACTGGTGGCTTCGGCCATTACTGGCGCTTTCGCCGCCCCCAGCCCTATCGAACAGGGTCCCATCACAGCTCGCGCTGCTGCCGCCGCCTGTGCTACTCCCGTCACTCTCTCCGGGAACCCCTTTGCCAGCCGCACCATCTATGCCAACAAGGAGTACTCCAAAGAGGTCGTCGCAGCTGCTTCTGCCATCAGCGATTCTTCCTTGGCTGCTAAGGCTCTCAAGGTTGCCGACGTTGGAACCTTCCTATGGATGTAAGCGTCTTTCTAGAAAGGTTTGGATTCAACAGACTGACGAATATTTAGTGACACCATGGCTCGTATCTCCGTCGTCGAGGAAAACCTGAAGGATGTTGGTTGCAACCAGATCGCTGCTCTCGTCATCTACGATCTGCCTGGCCGTGATTGCGCTGCAAAGGCCTCCAACGGCGAGCTTGCCGTTGGCGATATCGCCACCTACAAGTCGCAGTACATTGACCGTGAGTGATTCACACACTATGTCGGGAAAGATGCACCTGAATTAACCCCTTTCGTAGCCATTGTCGCCATCTTCAAGAAATACCCCAACACTGCCATCGCTCTCGTCATCGAGCCCGATTCCCTTCCTAACCTGGTCACCAACTCCGACAAGCAGGCCTGCAAGGACTCTGCTACCGGTTACAAGGACGGTGTCGCCTATGCGCTCAAGTCGCTCAACTTGCCTAACATCGCCATGTACATCGATGCTGGCCACGGAGGCTGGCTCGGCTGGAACGACAACCTAAGTATGGTTCCCTCTCCCCAGCACACGCATTCCATCTGCTAACAGACCCCCAGAGCCTGGAGCGAAGGGTCTCGCCGATGTCTACAAGGCGGCCGGCTCCCCCAAGCAGGTCCGCGGCGTAGCTACCAACGTCGCTGGCTGGAACGCATACGACCTGTCCCCCGGCGAGTTCTCCAAGGCAACCGACGCCCAGTGGAACAAGGCCCAGAATGAGAAACTCTACGTCTCTCTCTTCTCCCCCGAGCTCAAGTCCGCGGGCATGCCATCTCAAGCCATCATCGACACCGGCCGCAACGCCGTCACCGGCCTCCGCAAGGAGTGGGGTGACTGGTGCAACGTCAACGGCGCCGGCTTCGGCGTCCGCCCTACGGGCTCCACCGGAAACACCCTCGTTGATGCCTTCGTCTGGGTCAAGCCCGGTGGCGAGTCTGACGGTACTTCGGACACGGGCGCCACCCGGTACGACTCGTATTGCGGAAAGGAGGATGCGTTCAAGCCTGCCCCCGAGGCCGGTACCTGGAACCAGGAGTACTTTGAGATGCTGGTCAAGAATGCTAAGCCTTCTTTCTAAGCGGCTTCCCACCATTTAGGATTTGAAGGTTTCATGTCAGGGGATGATGAACCGTTGATAGACGGCGGATGGGATGGTAGTTGGGAGGACTTGTAGCGTTTAAAAGTCCGCAATGGGGCTTGAGAGGTGGTGGTCAATCGATCAAAAGCTTTCGCTCATACTGTATCTTCGCTTCTTTGTCCATATGCTGCATGGCTTTTATACAATATGAGACCCTCCTTTTACAAGAACGTTTCTTACTCTTGTCGGCGATCCTGATCTGAACTGAGCATCTTCCTGGAGTGTTCACAGAGCAACCCTCGGGACCTGGACAGATTCTTCCTCTGGAGACTAATGTGCGAATAGCGAAATCGAATCCCCCCCTTTCGTGTATTTCTTCTTCATTTCAATTCAGAGAGTCTTTGGTTGCTTGCCTTGGTACTTCTGGATCGGTAGGAGGAGCCTTTCCGAGTTTGGACTAATCCGACTTGCGCCGTTAGATCTCTCGTTACCCAAACTTCTGATCTCTTCCACACCACTATCTATCCATTGAACCACATGTAGAGCTAGTGGCTATGCATTCGCAATGCCAATCCCGTCCTTCCCCCCTTTCCTCTCGCTGCTGAAAGACCTGCCCGTTGTGGTGTACGAAAGGCCTCCAGTCACTACCCACCGTCACACCACTTCCAACCCTCCCCGATGACGAGGGACTGGCATGGACAATGGAGTCATAGGAATTAACTAATTTTAAATTAAAATTGCGCTCTGCTACTATCAAAGAAAAACAGTGGACGTGGAGGCAGCCTTCTTCGTCGCTTGATGGTTTGTTGCTTTGTGCACGGGCCACATGCTAACTTTCGCTTCCGATATTGATGTGGGATTCTAACAATTAGGCTTCAGCACTGAAACCCCTCTTCGGCTGACAAAGAGATTGCCTTGGCGCTTGCTCGTACTTTATCTAGTACCTATGACGAGGGAATTATTATAATGCTGTATATATATAGATTATTGTTAGAAATTCTTCTAAGTCGAAATAGAAACTGCATCTATGGTCTAGCGGTAGGATATATGCTTCCCAAGCATATGGCTCGGGTTCGACTCCCGGTGGATGCAAAACTCGATTAATTTCTTTTTTTTGGCCAACTCGAGATCTGCCATTACAAATTTAGAATTTGTATGATAAGTAATAACGATCTTGAACTTCTCATCCCACATGCAGTAGATTGTGTGGGGCCGAGATAGATGGCTAAGTTCTTTTTACATTTTCAGACTGGCATTTACTCTGATTCTAAGCACCAACATACTCATCGATACCGAGATAATTGATGAAGACATCGATCTCATAGCACGTAGGATATTCGCCCGTCATGACGAGGCTAGCATGACTCAAGTTCGGGTTCTCTTCTGGCACGGTGTCTTTCCTGCTTCGTCTATAACTACTCGGTGAGTTCTGCGGGGACATAGTGATCCTTGCATGAAGAGAAGGAGGGATGGGCTGTTCGTGGCGTTGCGAGTGGTGCACTTTCCCGTGGAGTGGGCGGTCGAGGGGTGGTCTGTAGGTGATTGGTGGGAAGTGCTGAGAGAGTATGTCGTCCGTCAAGATGTTATAGTAGAATTTCGATTATACTAATAATGAAAAAGGTCTCGGGGACTGGAGTATGTGGAGATGAGAGATAGGGAAGAGGCAATGTGGCGAGAGTAGGGGAGATGCACGAGGGGGGCAGGTGCTACATAGGAACACAAGGATGCCGCAAGAGGGTTGTATATCTTCTTTATTAGGCCACCAAAGGAGGATTGGCCTGTCTATTTGATATCTACGTATCCATTTCATCGCGTTACCTGAATGGAAATATTGGTCCAATCGAAGGCTCCTCGCGATTTAGCACAAGCAAATTTACTGGGGGAATACCAGCCTTGCTATAAACAGTCTATCAGTTGATGGTGTAGCGCAGGGTCATTCGAACGCCATACACATGGTTCTCCCATCCTCGTCTCTGTGGAATATAGTCAGCTAGGCATCCTTGAAAAGATCGACAGCCTACCTTTGCCCTCGACCAAACAACAATGATGTCTCCCTTCTGCAAAGAATCAACAAACGCCTCACCACTTCCCGCCCCTGCGTCCCCTTTCCAGGTTGGATTTGCTGCACATCCCCACACTACATGATATCTCTTCACCATCTCCCCTTGGAAGACAGAAGTACCCTTGGCAACCTCGTTGCCTTGTAAATACCAACTGTGCTTGCCTTCGTCACTCTCGTTATACGTCTCCGTCTTTTGAATACTTGCTTGCGCATTTCGCGGTTGCGGGTTTCGACTTGGCTCTGCATATATCTCGTTTTGTCGCTGGCGCGCTTCAACGCTCCACGTGATATTCTTCATCTCATCGCAATGGAGCCGTTGCGGTTCCATGTGTGAAGACGGCCGAGGTACCATGTGCCAGCCTCGATGTTTGGCATAGAAGGAGCGTGCAATTTCGAGATTAGTCCACAAATTATCCTCATACGCCCTGTACGACGATGGATAGTCAGGAGTCTCATGGCGGAATATGGAAGCTTCGAACCAGGAAGATGTCTGGTATGATCCTGCGCGAGTTGTTAATTCATGACTTATAACGACAAGACTAGCTACCTTTCGTATCTTCAGTAGTCCAGCCTTGATCGTGGCTGACGATGGTAAACTCGATCTCCCTCATCTTTGGATTCTCGTCTTCGTATCGAGCATCGGACTGGGGAAGCTCAGCCCAAAGATATATGCTTGCGACAGAGAAGTCGAGCGACCACTCTTCATCTAACAGCACACTATGGACTATGGACTCGTTTGTGATCTCGGGCCAGTAGCGGGCGAAGTCGAGGATGGCGAGGACCAGCTCGGTTGGAAAGCCGAGCGAGGCAACGATGCTGCGGACGTCGCGGACGTCGCGTTCAGAAGGGATGTAAGACATGGGGGAGTATCTTGACGTATCGGAATCGATGTCTCAGAGGCGTGACAGCGATTTCATGGCATGTGTTTTGGGGTGCGCACTGCGAGTCGTGTACTACATGCGTGGGGCAGATTATGTGACTAGCCGTCTACGGTTTAGCGCCGAGCCTACCAACATTAGGTACGTGAATTTATATTCGCCACCACTATCTGTTCAATCACCATCCGAATTTTGGTGCATGTTTTAAGTTCTTCTAAATCTAGCTAGGGAAGCGAGCCGGCTTTACTGCGGCCAGAAGTTTGATATTGAGCTCTGTGCTCAACTAGAAGGGCCGATTTCTCATAATGGATTTTTCGACATTATTTCGGACATACTAGCTTTACCAACAGGTAGGTTTGTATTTTGTTCTTGAACTATTCTTGAGATGGCAACCTGAGTTGTTGTCTTGATTTCGATTGCGAATTATCCTTTGGTTGAACTCGGATATTCAGTCACTCATTGAGAACTATAGTACGTTGAACATTGCAGGGGTAGCAATTGGAAACATCATGAAATTTATGCATGGCATTACGCAGTTTGTCAAGATGTGTCTATTTACAGAACTTGGATTGCTTGTGCTTTCAACACTATTGAGGCTCTCACTTGCAAATCCGTAAATTTACTCAAACTCTGTCTTCCGTCTCTGCAAAATCACACCAGGCAATGGGACGGAAGCAATTATACTATTCTCCTCTCTGCACATGATTTGTGGAGTAATATTTAGTTATTGAAAAGGAACGTTCGTGCAACAAGACGCTTGGCTGTAAGCTTCAAACCCGTAACGGGCCGAGTATGACGTTTCAGATTCCGACTAAACCTGTGATAGTCCAGATGCAAGACTTCCCCTGGAGACAATCTGAAATCAGGGAGGGCATACCTAACTACTTCATCCGCGGGCAATGACGCTGGTTCCATCATAGTAGCTCAAAATACCTTCGTTTTCTCCTTCACCGACCATGGTAGTACTCGCTGTCGCGATCCCAACGTTAGTAGGAAGTATTTGTTCTTTGATTGCTGCTTCTTTTATTTTCATCTGTTACTTTATTTTCCCTTTTAAGGCGCATTTTCGCCATATTCTTATTCTAAATTTGGCTACTGCAGGTACGTAGATGGCATTCATAATTTAACGAAGAACGGCTCATGGGTTCACTAGATTTCATAAATGCCCTTAACAATACGATGTCGGGGATTTATTATATATCCAGAGGCAGAATTCCGACAGGACTGGCGTGCACAGCGAACGGATTCATTGGACAGCTTTCTGTACAGGTATATATTGGATCTGAGATCCCACATTGAGGGGCTTGTCTGACGTGACGGCTAGGGGACCGATTTTTCGATTCTGTTGATTGCGATCGTGACGGTGATTGCTTTGAAATCGCCACGATTCCTTCCCAACACATCGCTACGCAGCCAAATACTGCTAAGCCTGGTGGTATGGATTGTGCCCCTTATAACAAGTACCACATCCCATCTATTCTCTCCCCTCAGTAGCTAACTGCACCATGTAGGCACTACAGGACTCGCGGTGCATGCGTACGGGCCTGTAAGTGGCAACTGGTGTTGGATCAAATCCGACCGGGCAGACTTGCGATACGCGCTCACCCATGGCTGGCGCATGGGCATCATTATAACGACGATCGGCCTCTATGCATACTTATTCTTCTACGTCAGGCAGGTTCTTGCGATCGAGCAGATTCCAAGAACAATCTCAATGAAGAATGAGGATGCAGAGCATATCATGATGGTGATGTCGAATCCGCAGCGGTTTGCTGGGAATCCTAACTTGCCTCAGGCACGTAAATCAGTTGATAGGCATGAAAGCGAGAGATTTTCGGGTGATACGGGTCCGTTCGAACTCCCCGCAATCTCACTAAGGGTGGAGGCGAGGCAAGAACGATACAAATGCCAAGCAAATTCGCAAGCTCTGGGCGAGTTGACTGGAGAATTTCCTGTGGATTCTCCAGTGAACGAGCTTGAGGGAGACTACCCCACAAAAGAATCAGACGGTGACTCTGCTCGTAAGTTTTTCTCTGATTAAACGTGCAAAATGGACGACAGAAACTCAGCGTCTCGCAGTAAGCTCTCTAGCAGTTAGAGAAATAGAATCCCGAGATTTACTCGCTGCCTCCTGGGTCACCAACTTCTCGCTCTACCAAGGGAGGGCACACCGTTCCAGAAATTCCAGTAAATCAGCGGAGCCACATTCAAAGGCTGAGCTCAACATCGAGACGGGAGATATCTCGAACGGACAGCCAGCACATGCTACGGATTTCGATACGATGAATAAAGCACGCAACAAGAAGATCCAGCTCGCACTTCTGCTCAATGCGTATCCGATTGCATACATACTTCTATGGTTGCCGGGGTTTATCAATCGATTTGTGGAGCTGAGCACTGGAAAAAGCAGCTTTGTACTCCAAGTGTTGCAAAGTAGCACGCAGTTTGTGGGCGTGGCGAATGCGATCACGTACGGCTTCAACGAGAGGGTGCGGCGGCGAGTGGGATACTATTTTAGGGGGCATATGTGACATTGAGGCGGAGGGAGGACGGAGCGTTGTAATCGTGGGAATGTAGCTTCTGTCTCTTAAGTGCGGTCAGATGCGACGGAGCTGGCATTTATTGAGGAAAATCGTATAGGCGATTCTGGGCAGTGGGAAAAACTATTAGGCGTGCGCTGTAAAGCACTGCTATAGTCGCCAGAGACAAATTTGGTATCCTAGAAGAGGTGGCCAGATGATTAAAAATACTACTGTAGTATCAGACATACTGTGTAAGTAGTGTAGGTAGTCGATAGATTCAGGGACAAGGCGCTGCCGACTAATTTTACATTAATGAGTACGATGTACAATGTTAAATTATCTGGATTTTGCTTCGTATTCTGTATAAAACAAGCGAGTAGGAGTAGTTCGAATTGACCCGTTTGCTTCTAGCCTAACAAAGATAAACGCATATTCAATTTCTAGGCTGCAACATTCGCTCACACCGCTTAGTGCCCAATTGCTCATCTTACGCCGTCTCGTAGGCAGCAGTCGTCGCGTATTCATCGCGCATCTATGTCGTTCCTATACACCAATCATCTGCCCTCCCCAATAACACTATTGCCATGCACGGCTAGCCCCTATATAGAGATTAGGCTCCTTAGCCGTGTT